TTTTTTTGAAATTTTAATAAATATTATTTTTTTTTTAAAAAAAGAGAACATAAAAAGAGCCCTTGTGGATCAGGCCCATGCATAGGAACCCACTCCCTGGGGCCCTGGTTGCCAGAGCACCCACAAAATACCCCATGAAGGGGCTGGGCACCCACAAGTTTTGGTGCCAGGGCCATGCGGGTTGCATGGCACCTACAGCCCCTGGCACCCACAGTCATGGCGCCAAGCTGGCACTCCTGAGCCCAAGTCCCATCTAGTCGAGTATTCTCTTTTCACAGTGGCCAACCAGTTGTTTATAGGGAAGACCGATAATCGAAACTGCACACTGACTGAATTGTACATTATGGAAATATTTACAGTCCTGGCCAATAACAAAAGTGAGGATTTGGCATGCGAAGTTACTTGGACAAAGGTGTGGGTTTTTTTTAAAAAAAATGTTTGTTCTTTTAATTTCTTCTTCCACAGTAGTATAATCACTAGGAAAACATGAGTGAGCTGTGGTGGTTTCTGTTTTTTAAAGTCTCCTTCCAACACTTTATAACTGCTACAGGCACTTGGCTAGTGTCCTCACAACTCTTTCTGTTCCCAAAGATTGTGCTTGTATCTTCAGAGAAACAGTCTGTTTCACATTATTGCTTCCTTTAGTAGGCAGGAGAAATACTGGGCACGATCCAGCCAAAGGTTTACCCCCTGAGAAATAAAAGCAGAGTAAAACCCCTAATTGTTCTTCAGCCCTTGTGTAATCTGAGGGCACAAAACTTGAAGAGATTGGTCCTCAGTACTTCAGTGATAAGAGTTTCCAGTTAACTTCATACATGACCGGCTGGGGTGAGTGCTTATTCTTTTAGCTCTAAGCTTTGTGAGCTGTTTGACCAAATGAAATAAGTCTCATGCCCAATAAGCGTGGGGCGCCTTTGCCTGGCATAGCTGTGGCCCATCTTCTCTATGTGATGGGCTCATGGGAAAAAGCTGTCCCATGAGCCCTTGCAAAGGGTTGCTTCCCACTGGAGCCCAGGGCCATTTTGTCTTGAGAGCTTCCCACCCATCCACTCTCAGATTAGAGCCATCCCTGAGCAATTTTGGGTTGCTGGTTGACAGGGGAAGAAATGTTTTCCGCGCCCCCCTCTCATTCTGATTGGTACTTGGGGTTTTCTTGTCTTCCATCAGCAAAATGATGGCCTTCCTTTGTTGGGCAAAGAATGTTGTTTGTATGAGAGCAGAAATGGCATTGGGCAGGATCAACCTAGTATAGGGCCCTCCCCATAGTATAGGGGGCCTGAGGGGATGATTGACCACTGTGCCCCAAAGCTTGGCATATCTGTCTGGTAGGGAACTGCACCCTCGTCACCCACGGAGACCCCCAAATTTTTAAGTAGGGGGCTGGACTGTTAAGTTGTGGGTGAACATATCAGATGACACAGTGATTCTTCAAACAGCTCTTGCTTATTCACAGGCCAGAACAGAACTGAACTGAAGGGTTCAGCCAGCCTGCTTATATAGAGCTCCACTAGAACGTAACAGTAACCACTTTCTGTAACTATCCAATCACTGAACGTCACTTTCAATCCCTTATTTGCATATGTGGACCTGAGTGAAAATTGTTGTGACGTGGGGTTTGTGATTTCAGCTCTCCTGATATAACATGCTGGAGACAGTTCTCTAGTAACACTTCTTTATTAAAGCAACAAGACTCCAGACTGGGAAGAGGAAAGCTACATTTATAGGGACAGGGAACTAGCAAGAAAGGATACATTTTGGAGGGAACAATATCAGGCAACCAATAATACAGAGGATCCAAATACAGCAGCTTAAATGAACCAATAGTAGCTGTACCCTCTGGAACCAAAAGGCAGTTACTTTACCCTAATGCAAATACAGACAATAATAATACAGATATAAAATCCTTTGACTCAATACACAACACCCCTTCCCCCCTAGTGAGCACAGCAGACGTAATCTCTCAGGTACTGTGGGGCCTACAACTTCTACTTGATCTCCTGACAACAGGTGTTGCAGGTTCTGGATTGGGTGTTACCTGTGGTAGAGGGGCTGCTCTAGGGGTTTCGTCAGGAACAGATGGAGTCCCCGACATCTCAGGGTCCCCTATCTGTACCTCGTCATCGTGAGGACTAGCAGACCCTGGTTCATTTGTTAAAGCCCCTGGTGCTTGCACCTCTGGGCCTTTTTCACTCTGGTCTTGCGGCTCTGCGTCGTTAGCCTGGGATGAATTATCTGGCTCCTCCCTGCTGAGCGCCCGGCGCCTCAGCTGATCTATATGTCTCTTCCACACTTGCCCATTTTCCAAGGTCACATAATAGGACACAGGTCCACTAGCCCGGGTGACCACACCAGCCACCCACCGCGAACCTCGTGAATAGTTCCTCACCCAGACCAGATCTTCAGGGGCGAGATACCTTGTTGTGTCAGTCTCAGCCTGGGGGGTTGCTCTTGAATTATGGTTTGGCATTTTATCCGGGTGGACATAATCCAGCACCGTTACCAGTCTCCTACCCAAGAGCAGCTCAGCTGGCGACTTGCCTGTTGCGGTACACGGCGTCGCATGCTGCAAAAATAACATTCGCGCGATGCGAGCTGACCAGTTACCCTCCATTAAGCGCGCAATGGATTCTTTGGCTGTTCTTACCATGCGCTCAGCCTGCCCATTGGAGGATGGGTGAAAGGGCGCGGATGTGACCCCTCTTATGAAGTTATCAGCCAAGAATGCCCTGAATTCTTGGGATACAAAAGCTGCCCCATTATCTGATACAATGGTCTCAGGTAACCCGTGGGTTGCAAACAGCTGCCTCAACACCTTGATGACGGCAGCTGATGCCATGCTAGGGACCATCGCCACTTCTAACCATTTGGAATATGCATCAACGATAACCAAAAAGACCTTTCCTTGGAATGGCCCAGCAAAATCTAAGTGCAGCCGGCTCCAGGGAGATCTGGACTGCTCCCACCAGTGGACTGGTGCTCTGGCCACTTCTGGCCGCACCTCTTGGCATGCCTTGCATGTTCGTACCCATTGTTCTATGTTCTGGTCCATTCCAGGCCACCACACATAACATCGGGCTAGCGACTTCATCCTGACCATTCCCGGGTGTCCCATGTGAAGCGTCTCAAGAACCCTGTTTCTCAGTGGTGCTGGGATGATGACCCTATCTCCCCACAGGAGACAACCCTTATGCGTGGACAACTCGTGCTGCCTAGTCACATAAGGCCTGAATTTGTCTTCATGCGGACCACCTGGCCACCCCCTCCCCACCCAAGTGAGCACACGGGAGAGAACAGCATCTTTCCTCGTTTTCTCAGCTATATCAGTAGCCGTTACAGGAGCCCCGGAAGTGTTTCCAGCATCATTATGTGCTCCGCTGGAGCAGGATCCTCAGTGCTCCCGCCAGGAAGGGGCAATCGACTCAGCGCATCCGCGTGGCACAACCGCTTCCCGGCACATGGGTCAAGGTGTACTGGAACCTGTTCAGGAATATAGACCAACGTAACATTCTGGGGGAGAGAATTTGTGGCGTTTGTTTGTTCGGGTTGAACAACCCTAACAGTGGCTTGTGGTCCGTTTCAATGTAGAAATGGCAACCGTACACATAATCATGGAACTTTTTGATTCCTGCCACAATTGCAAGCGCCTCTTTGTCAATTTGAGCATAGTTGCGCTCCGTGGGCGACAACGTACGGGAATAGAAAGAGATGGGCTTTTCCGACCCATCCGGTTCCCTATGACTTAGCACCGCCCCCAGGCCATATTGAGAGGCATCACATGCCAGGACCAGAGGCTTTGACTCGTCATAATGAGCAAGGACACTCCTGCTACTCAGCATTCCTCGCAAGGAGTCAAAAGCCTTCTGCTGCCCCTGCCCCCATCGCCACACAGTCTTTTTCTGCAACAGTCTATGTAATGGTTCAGCTACCGAAGCTTTCTGGGGTAAGAACGAATGATAAAAGTTAATAAGTCCCAGGAATGACTGCAACTCCGTCTTGTTCTGTGGTCCTGGCGCCTCGATGATGGCCTTAATCTTAGCATCTGTGGGGTGGATGCCTGATGCATCAATTTTAAACCCCAAGAAATCCACAGTTGGCACCCCAAAACTGCATTTTTCCTTTTTCAGTTGCAACCCCACCTCCTTGAACTTGAGCAACACTGCACGAACACGCGCAACCAGTTCCTGTGGGTCTTTTCCAGCAATCAAAACGTCATCAAAAAATGGCAAGACCCCGGCAGACCTCTTAACAGGTGTTCCATGAGCCCTTGAAAATCCCTGGGGCCACACAAACTCCAAATTGTAATCTGTTAACTCTGAACGCCTTTATGTGTGACAATAGTCTGTGCTTCCGCTGATTGTGGGGTTACTGGCAGCTGTTGGTAAGCTTGTGCCAGGTCAATTTTGGCGAACACCTTGCCCCCAGCCAGTTAGCCAACAGATGTGATACTGACTGGAATGGGGTATGAGTTTCCCTGAGTGCCTTATTGATAGTACATTTGTAATCTGCACAGATCCTGACTTCCCCATTTGCTTTAAGGGGCGTGACGATTGGAGTCTCCCACTTAGCAGAGTCCACGGGTGAGAGAACTCCCTGCTTGACCAATTTATCCAGCTCTGCTTCGATCTTGGGTTGCAGTGCAAATGGCACTCGCCTTGGTTTGAGCCGGATTGGGGCCACCCCAGGGTCCAACTCGAAGTCAACTGGGGGCCCTTTATAACAACCCAGTTTTCCATTAAACAGACCAGCAAATTCTTTGCATAATGCCTCGCTCATCTCAGGGCAGGTTTGGATTGAATTAAGCCCTGATATACTCAGTCCCAGGGCGGGGAACCAGTCAGTGCCCAGGAGACTGGGGCGACTGCCCTTCGCAATCACCAGTTTGAGTACAGCCTGTTTGTCCCGGAACTGTACTCTCACGGCACACATTCCCATAACATGGATGCGGCCCGCTGAGTATGACTGCAAGGTTGCCGGGAAGGGTTCCAGAGGGGGCAACTTACCCCTGGGGAAGAATGTCCTCGCGGTCTGGTCCGACACGATAGTGAATCCAGATCCGGAGTCCACCTCCATGTCGCACTGCTGACCCTCAATCTTCACCTTGACGTGTGCCTTGCCTTGTGCTGGGAACTGCACGACCCTCCCGTTGATCTCCGTAACGTAGTGGCAGTCCTTTAGAAAATGGGTTGCTGTGGGCGGTCTGCGATGCTCCGGTCTAGGTGCTCCTGTCGCTCCCAACGCCGCCGATCTACAGACTCTGGCGATGTGACCTGTCTTCCCGCACGTCCGGCACATAGCATCCCGGAAACGACAACTCTTCCGCTCATGGTTTCCGCCACAACCTGGGCACCTGCCTCGGTGATCTTTGTGCACTGTGCAGGCCTGACTCACTGACTCGACCCCACGGACTGGGCTCTGGCTCGGAGTAGCCTCTAGCTCGTCCATGGCATGCGCAACTTCTATCTGTGGCTTAGGGGCCTTGCGACTGGCATCAAGCTCCTCTCTTTCATAATTCTCCGTGGCGGTGGCCTCCTTCAAGGCTGAAGCAAGGGTAACCTCTTCTTTAGCCACGATGCGTCTTCTGGCCTTCTTGCTGCTCAGACCACCGATAAACTGATCCAGGAGAGTCTCTTCCAGATTTTGGAAGTCGCAGTGCTGAGCGAGCTTCCGCAGTTCAGCCAGAAATGCAGATACAGACTCCCCAGCATGCTGCTGCCTCTTATGAAACTCCATCCGCCGAGCCATCTTGGTCTCAGTAGGCGCCAAGTGGCTTGTTAGGCAGGCAAGAATATCTTTGAGAGATGTCTCACTTAGCTTCGCTGGAGCAAGCAATGCCTTGGCCAGCTTGAAGGTCTCAGGCCCACAGTAGCTCAGGAATGTGGCCCTTCTTTTGCTGGCGTCGGTGATCCCTTGAGCCTCTGCGAAGAACTCGAAGCGTTCGACGTAGTCTTCCCACGTGTCGGGCTCTGATGGCTGGAAGGGCTCCAATACCCTTGGACTCTCCATTGTCCTGTGGCAGGGTCGTCTTCTCAGCTGGTCAGTGAGTCTTGTTCTTAGCTGCAATCCGGACTCTGAGGCAGGGCTGCGTTTAACCGCTCCTCAGCATTCCCATCCTCGTCGCCAGTTGTTGTGATGTGGGGTTTGTGATTTCAGCTCTCCTGATATAACATGCTGGAGACAGTTCTCTAGTAACACTTCTTTATTAAAGCAACAAGACTCCAGACTGGGAAGAGGAAAGCTACATTTATAGGGACAGGGAACTAGCAAGAAAGGATACATTTTGGAGGGAACAATATCAGGCAATCACAGTCCTGCCTTTTGGAGGGAACCAATAATACAGAGGATCCAAATACAGCAGCTTAAATGAACCAATAGTAGCTGTACCCTCTGGAACCAAAAGGCAGTTACTTTACCCTAATGCAAATACAGACAATAATAATACAGATATAAAATCCTTTGACTCAATACACAACAAAAATTAACTACAGTTTCCCCCTGCTGGCCCAGGGTGAGAACTTCAGTACGTAACACGTTGTTGTTGTTGTTTAGTTATTTAGTCATGTCTGACTCTTCGTGACCCCATGGACCAGAGCACACCAGGCACTTCTGTCTTCCACTGCCTCCCGCAGTTTGGTCAAACTCATGCTGGTAGCTTCGAGAACACCATCCAACCATCTCATCCTCTGTCGTCCCCTTCTCCTTGTGTCCTCCATCTTTCCCAACATCAGGGTCTTTTCCAGGGAGTCTTCTCTTCTCATGGGGTGGCCAAAGTATTGGAGCCTCAGCTTCAGGATCTGTCCTTCCAGTGAGCACTCAGGGCTGATTTACTTCAGAATGGATAGGTTTGATCTTCTTGCAGTCCATGGGACTCTCAAGAGTCTCCTCCAGCACCATAATTCAAAAGCATCAATTCTTTGGCGATCAGCCTTCTTTATGGTCCAGCTCTCACTTCCATACATCACTACTGGGAAAACCATAGCTTTTACTATACGGACCATTGTTGGCAAGGTGATGTGTCTACTTTTAAGATGCTGTCTAGGTTTGTCATTGCTTTTCTCCCAAGAAGCAGGCGTCTTTTAATTTCGTGGCTGCTGTCACCATCTGCAGTGATCATGGAGCCCAAGAAAGTAAAATCTCTCACTGCCTCCATTTCTTCTCCTTCTATTTGCCAGGAGGTGATGGGACCAGTGGCCATGATCTTCGTTTTCTTGATGTTGAGCTTCAGACCATATTTTGCGCTCTCCTCTTTCACCTTCAATAAAAGGTTCTTTAATTCCTCCTCACTTTCTGCCATCAAGGTTGTGTCATCTGCATATTTGAGATTGTTGATATTTCTTCCGGCAATCTTAATTCCGGCTAGGGATTCATCCAGCCCAGCCTTTCGCATGATGAATTCTGCATATAAGTTAAATAAGCAGGGAGACAATATACAGCCTTGTCGTACATAACATGGACCCTCTCAAAATTCCATGGCAACGTGTGGGCGACACATCAGCCTGTCATGTGGTGTGTGCAACACCTCAGCACATCTCACGGCATGCAGATGTCACATGAGCATGTCATACCAAGGTTGCAAGTTTGATCCCCGTTGGGGGCAGCTGCATATTTCTGTACCGCAGAGGGTTAGACTGGATGAGCCTTGGGGTACCTTCTATCTCTACAGCTCTATGATTCTACGATCCTAAATTAAGTGTATAACTATGTGCAGGAATGCAACTGAAGCTGGAGCAGCCTCCTAATTTTAATGGTCTTGGTAGTCTCAGAATGGTACTTGCCAGGTGTGCATAGCTTGCATCTCGAATGCTCTGGTCACACAGCACATTCATCAGGAGTCTAGACAGTAAGTAGCTATTTTCAGACATGCCTGCAATGCTGCCCCAGAGAACTGGGTTGCTTAAATGAATTCCCCATTTTCCTGAACTCTGGATATGCCACGCTGTCTAGATGTAATTTGGGGTCTGGTGTGTCAATGTTTGCTTTTAAGAAATTGTCATTCTTCCAAATGCATTTTCTTGGTACGGAGCCCTTGAATGCCTGGCTCGGGAAATGCCATCGCTCAAATTAATTTACATGAGATGGGATGTGATGCAGCAATTTGCAAGAGAATAAACATTTTGCATCAGATGCCTTTCAATTACATCCTTCCTTAATGCTGTTATGGGGGTCCTGTGGGTCAGAGCCTCTCAACTTCTCTATTCTGTGGAACCTGGTCAGCCTTTTAATTGTCTAACCTTTTTGTAAGCCATGTCCTCCAGATGCAGAAATTGAATATAATTTCCCTTTATTCAGTATTAATAAACTGTAAGCAATATCATTGCTGCCTCTTGGCAACCTGCCTGAATTAAATAGGTCTCATAATGTATCTCATATCTGTACCACAGAGCTATTTTAAAGCAATATGATGAGCATGCTCTGGGTAACAAGAAAACTCCTTCTAATCCCTTTGTTGTATTTAAGCGCTGTATATTCTTACAGAGTGATACCATTTGTTAGGGATTCAGTGGAATAGGCCCCCTATCTGAGCAGGACAATAGCTGTTCAAAGGCAGGTTTTCATGTGATATCTCCTGTTGAATCAGGAGCCATGTGGACAATGAGAAACCCGGCATTGCTTCAGACCTCATCAAGCCTCTAGAGATACAATACGTGCACTGTTGTTTTTACTGGATCAGAAACGGCATCTGAAGATGAATGAAGAAGGTGGTTCACTTTTTGTAAAGGCAATACAGTGGTACCTCAGGTTAAGTACTTAATTCATTCCGGAGGTCCGTACTTAACCTGAAACTGTTCTTAACCTGAAGCACCACTTTAGCTAATGGGGCCTCCTGCTGCTGCCACGCCGCCAGAGCACAATTTCTGTTCTTATCCTGAAGCAAAGTACTTAACCTGAGGTAATATTTCTGGGTTAGCGGAGTCTGTAACCTGAAGCGTATGTAACCTGAAGCGTATGTAACCTGAGGTACGACTGTACAAAAATTTTCACAGCTGAGTCCTCAACTCTTTATTACTGTGCTTGGCTTTCTTCAAGTTGGGCTGTGTCTAGAACTTGCCATTTAGGTTTTTAAACATTTTTTGTAAACTCAGTTTTAGAAACTGTACCTTTGAGTCCTCAATCCTTTATTACAGTGGTACCTCTGGATGTAAACGGGATCCGTTCCGGAATCTCGTTCGCATCCAGAAGTGAATGCAACCCATGTCCACGCGTCTGCGTGGGTCGTGATTTGCTGCTTCCGCACATGCGCGAGACGTCATTTTGACCGTCTGTGCATGCGTGAGCGGCGAAACCCGGAAGTAATGTGCTCCATTACTTCTGGGTCGCCGCAGTGCGCAACCCAAAAGTACTTATCCTGAAGCTACTTCAACCCAAGGTATGACTGTACTGTGCTTTGCTTCACCTTGGTCAAACTAGGATTATAATACTTCAGAATTTTTGGGAGTTTTACCCCCTTTCTTTGAATTTGGTCATTTAAGGTTTATGAAATATACTCGGAGTCGAGTGTGGATTTCATGCTCTTTATTCAGCTCATAGTAGTGAGGAAGGAATGTTCCCCCAAAATATCTGCTTTATATACATTATTTACACAATGGGCCACACATGATTGGCTAATTCCGGGATTCTCCCGCTAGGCCAATCAGGTTGCGGATTCACTTCCACCTGGAGCTGGATTGGGTGGCTCCTGTGGACCAATCAGACTGCTGCATTGTTCTAGGACCAATCAGACTGCTGCATTCTGAATCCTATTGTTCTAGGATCAATCCAACTGCTGCATTTTGGATCCTATTCAACTCAGTACATAACAGTTTATGATTTCTCTATTTCCTTCTGAGGAAAAATAAAATAAAATGTCATTCATGCATACGTGCACACACTTATACACAATGACAAATGGAAAAAGTAGTCCCCCTAAATGATCATTCTTGATTAACTGCCACCTTATTTTCACTGCCATGAAAAGAAAATTTGACCACTACTGGTGACCCTCATGTGATTTTATTTCCCAGCAAATTTTTAACATAAAATTGAGCTGACCTTCCTGGTACTTTGACCAGTAAAGGGGCAATCTTTTCCAGTTTAAACTTCAGTAGATCCATGGGATGATCAGATGGCAACATGTCCTGTGGAATGCCATCTAATGGCAACACAAAGCAGGGCCTTCTCCGTGGTGGCTCCTACTCTCTTGATCACCTTCCTCTGTGTGATTCAGGTGGCAGTGACTGTTGGGTGCTTCTAACATTTACTGAAAAGTCATTTGTTTGCTTGAGCTTTCCCTAGCGAATAACACTGATTCTACTGGCCAATACTATTTTTGGTATCCTTTTCTTTGGTGAAATTTTTTTATAACTTGCTGCCATGTTCATTCACATTTTCCTTTGTTGCAGTCTACCAATGAATTCTAGTGCATATGTGCATTGTTCTGTAAATCAATCACTTGAATCAATGAGGCT